GAGGAGGTGCTAACTCCGAAAGAGAGGCGAAAAAAGGAGAGGGAGGCTAGGAAGCAAGCGGCTGCCGTAGCTGAATCTAATGACAACAACGCTGCAAATGCTGTTTCTACGGATCTGGTCAAGTCTCCAGCACTTGATGACAACTCATGGTGGGGAGCTGCTGCAGATAAAAAGAAGGATAAGAAAGGAAAAGACGCCAACGAACCACCACCTCCAGCTCCAACACCACCAGCTCAAGATCTTGGCTCCCAGACAACCACAGTTGACGTCGAGGAGATTGATACGTGGGGTGCATTTACTGGTTCTGGAGCTAAGACCTCGAAATCCAAGAAAACATCTCTCTCTTTCACGACCTCAACCACGTTGAAATCATCTAGAGTTGAGGACAGTAAATCAACTAGGGCCAAATCTAGGGGGTTTGAAGTTGTAGACGTCACAGATGAGTTCAAGGAAAAGGAGGAACCTGTTGAGGAGGTCAGTGCGGCCAAGGGAGTAAAAAGCTTTTGGGGAGGCACTTTTGGTGTTGCTACGACGGCTACTTTCACCAAATCTAAAACCTCCAAAACAAAGGAGGAAACAACTCGAGAGGCTGTAGAGACGGCCCCAGATAAACTTGTCAAGGAGGAAAGCAAAGATAGCGTGAAGAAAAAGAAAACGAGCGCTGTCGACGCTGATATGGCCGAGCTACAAGCGGCTAGCGCTACGACAGCTGACAAAGCAACCGCGCCAAGCGCGCCAACAAGAACCACGACGACATCGACGACTGGCATCAAGATTACTGCCAAAACATCGGTCGCGGAGCGGATTAAATTACTTGAGGAGAGTAAAAGGCGCGAAAAAGAAGCCGCCAAGGAAAAGGAAAAGCTTAAGGCAAAAGAAAAGGCTTCTGCGCACACTGTTGTTCCCCAGCAGCCGGCTTCCCCACCTGACGTCAAGTTGACCGTAGAGCCAGTCGCAAATGATCCACCCCCATCCAAAAAGTCATCAAAACCAAAAGCATCAACGGTGCCAACTAAGTCCACGTCAAAGAAAAACAGCGCTACTGCGGCCGCTAGTGCCACGCTTCTCGACGAATCGAGCACTCCTCGCGATTCGGTTCCTGGTAGTTTCCCGGGCGCATATGAGGACGAATTGGTCGACATGGTTGATTTGGCTCCTCTTCCTAAATCAAAACCTACGCAATCGCAGCCGGCAAAGGCTCCTAAGAAGAGCAAGAAGGCCTCTCCTGTCAAACAGGTTGCAGTGGATGAAATGGCAACTCCTCCTCCGGTCTCTGTTCCTGCTAATGAAAATAAAGCTGCCGAAGCTTTCCCCGATCTTGCGACGGCAAAACCTGCTAAAAAGGAGCGTCCCCGGGTTGAACGTACAGCTGGGGCTTCTTCGTGGGGATTCTGGGGCGCTGCTCCCAAGAAACCAGTAAAGAAAGAATCCAAGCCAAAAGACGATGCTGACCCTTCATCTTCTGTGAAAAAACCAAAGGAAAAGCCACCTCCTACTTTGACAAGGTCTAAATCTATGGCTTCCGAAAAGAAAAGGCCTGCGGCTACGGAAAAGGATGTCGAAAAGTCATCTGGTTCTGACGAGAAACGCCCTAGCACTGGCGCTCGAGTCTCACGACACAGCAGAGGCATGAGTTTTTCCAACTTCATGATGGGAGGTGCGCCACCCGTCAGAACCAAGTCAATGAAACAAAATGGCACCTCAGCTTCGAGGCATAGCTCTAGACGTCCGTCAGTTGACATTGATGACTCAGGTATTCTTTCTCCGAGTGGCGGCCACGTCGAAATGCCGGGGAAAGCAGCGAAGGTCATGGGCGTTAACGGCACCAAGACTCCGAAAAAGTATGTCAATGGTAAGAAACGCGCCTCCAGTAAGTTTGGCCTGTATCCAAATAATCGATCCTCGTATTACATGTTCTAACAATCGTTTCAAGGAGTACCTGACCCATATGCAATTGACGATGACGACGACTTGGTTTTGGTCAACGGAGGGGATGGGCATGAAGTAATCTCACCAGGAGACTCCCCAATAGATTCGAAACCTCATCGACGTAAATCTAAACGTGAGGTATGTAATTTGAACTTCTGTCCCCATTTCCCTACGCCTATCGTTTTTATAAAACGAACAAAGTGTGCTAACATAAAACTCTTCGTACTACCAACAGCCAAAACCTGGAAATGCAGATGATGATATTGTCATGGTTGAACCAGGCTCCTCTGGACGTCCAGATGTAGTGTCCGGCCCTGAGGATTTAGCTTTTGTGATCGACCCTCCAAAAGAACGTGCAAACTTGAAACGATCCAACACCACCACTGCAACGCCGAAAAAGTCAGAAGGTTTGCTAGGACTGTTTGGCTCATTCCGCAAACCTACGACAGCACCAGAGCACTCCCGATCACGGTCTTATCGTGAAGAAGATTTGAGAAAGTCGGTAGAATCTGACAAAGAATATGCCCGTCGCCTTCGACGAGACAGACACCGATCCACTAAAGTGGAGACGGATGGCGAAGGTTTTACTACGGATGCGGCACCCACAACGGAGGCTGAGGATGCCGAAGCCAGAAGAGCTGAAAGGAAGGCTCGACGTTTGTCGAAGTACGCTGAACAGGAGGCCCGAGCGGCTGAGGACAGAGAAGCAGAGGAACGGCGCGCGAGGAGGCGAGATGTTGAAAAAGCTAAGATTCGTGAAGCACGGGAAAGACAAGCTAGAGAAGACGAGGAGAGAGAACGAGCACAACGACATCGTGAGGAGAAGAAAGCTCGCCGCGCTGCAAGGTTATTGGAGGAGCAGCAACGTGAGGAAGAAATTCGACGAATGGAAGGCAAGCGTCGCGCGAGGGAGGTAGACGAACTTGAGGAGGATGGCAGAAGGGTAAGATCGGATCGTCATCGATCGTATGCTGAGAAACCCCGAGATAAATACTCCCATGATGAATACGCTACAGATCATCGTCGACATCGTTCCCATCGTTCCGGTGACGAAGCTGCCAAATCCCGTCGGCGAAAGTCTGCCGTTATACCAGGAGAAGAGCATCACACTTCACGTCATGGCCACTCACGCCGTGCTTCTAATGTGCCGTATCCCGGTATCGTGGGCGCTGGGAAGGATAAAACGTCGTCATGGTTGAATTCTCAATTGACTGACCCTCCCGAAGCACCTCCTATCGTCCCAACGGTTATCGACGTCCCCGTTCCTCCAGGAGATCCTCACGCCCATTCCCTATCATCTGAAGAGGAAGCAAGGCGCATTGCCCGTCGTAAGGCGCGACGACACTCCAGGTTTAATGGCGTCGATGATGCCGAAGCTTCAGAACAGCGAGCCAGGCGTCACGAGTTACGATATTCAGTCCGTGAGCCCCTCAGGAGCAGCGAGGGTAGTGGTGAAGGTGATCGATATGGCGATCGTTATGCTTCTGACTATCATCGCCATTCATCGTATACCAATGGCACTCCGAAGCGATCCAGTTGGTTCAAAAAGATTACAAATTTGTAGAGTCCTTTGAAACTCGAATTGGAACCCATCGAACCATTTTCTCTCCGAAAATCGACTTTCTTGGCCATAGCCTTTTCTCTCTTTGTTCCCAAGTTTTTTCTAGGTGTTTTGTTACACGAGTGTTGTCGAAACAAATGCGGACGATGGAGGGACGCTTATGTGGGGCGGTAATAGAAATGCGTTACCTCTGACCCCCACCGCTTTTCCTTTCCACGCCACCTTACCTTTAATAATGGAGGTCCCTTGTCATATGGCTTGTTTTATTTTGTGTATATGAGCTTTTGGATCGTTTGCATCAGAGATTTACCCCGATGTGTGTTTTCTGACTTGGGTTACGTTTCTTGTTTTCTTTGACTTTTTTTTATTTAATTTTCTTTTTGGATTCCCCCTCTGCATCTCAGACTGTGTTCAAATCAGCAAATCGGCTGAGTTTTTTTTTAATCAACTTTTTTGTTTGGCGTCTGTCACATTCCCGTTTGCATTACTTCTTGGTTGACTTACCAACTCTGGAACGAATTCCCCGCCTGTAACCCCTCTTCTAACGTATATATATGATGTTACGCTTTTCATTTCTTTTACTCTTCGTTTTTGGCCTTTGTTCTATTGTTGTTTCTTTTCGTTTCTATTTGCATATCCGCCGTCTGCTGACTATTTACATTATTTTCCCCATGATTCAAGAATATTTCACCTTCCTTCGCCGAATTCCTCAGTATATTTTCTTGGTTTGACGTTTTATGACAAGTAGGGACTGTGATTTGCTTGGGCATGTCCATATTGCATTATCATATGGTCGGTCGGTTGGTCAGGCTCGGCCCGGTTTATTGTGCATATACATGGATTTTGGCGGCAATCATTGGGCGGATTAGTATCGGGGATTGAGATTGGCAGGGCATATCATAGGATTTCCGCTTCTAGACTTAGGATTTCTTCTCTGTACCACACTGTCTCAATAAGCAATGTGCAGTTGTTGACCTTTTTCTCAAGACTCTTTAAAATCTTGGATCAGGTAGATGTCACATCGTTGGACGGAGCCTTGATCAGATCAAACTAGGTAAATATGTAGGAGAGAATGACATATGTTCATGGTTAATAATCTTTTTATTTCATTCTGTCGTCCGGAACATTTATGCTATGCTTCCGTAGTGAGTCCGAAAAATCTTCAGAAGAACATGATATATATTCATCCAGATGGATTCCGTTGCGAGTAGCTAAGCAGGTTAAAACTAAGAAATCAACGCAGGAACCATATGGAAATCCGGGAGAAGAAATATCAAAAGAATTACAGAAACTCATAATTAACCGGCTCAAAGGGGACGAACAGCCGACAAATAGATGCACCCAAAGAAAATTCCCAATGATACGCCATACAATCATTTACAATTCAAGACCCATAAAGCTTTTGTTTATGTTTTTCTTTCCGAAAGCACGAAAATTCAAGCTCCGTAGACGGTTTCATCCCATCATCACAATGAAAGAAAGATAGGTATAGAAGCTGAATGCATAGATGTTAAACCTGGGATTCACCTGGAAGTAGATTGCCCTTGACGGCGAACATTTTCCCCGTTGTCGCAGCCACGAAGCCGTCGATTTGTCGCGAATATTGCTCGACTTGTCTAGTATTCAGCAATGTCTCTAACCTGCTAGGTTCCTGGGGAAGTTTGAAGAGTCGCTGCCATTCATCCTCCGGTAGCAGCGGTTGCTTCAGTTGGGTACGTGTGGCGTTCTCGGCTTTGCGCTTAGCCTGCCATTGCGCAATCTTGGCTTGCTCGCGTGCAAGAGATCGTTGGTAGAATTGGAAGTTGTTGTTTTCGGTGTGGTGAGTTTCGATGCTTTCCAGGAGTAGATCGCAATTTTTCTCCAAGAATGGATCAATGCTCAGAGAAAGGCTGTCGAAGTTGGGAGTCAACAGAGAAGACGAGGAGTAAGGTCCAGAGGTCAGAGCGTCAAGGGATGGAGGGAAATCCAAGGGTTCTGAAGGAGTGGGGGTTGGGAGTTGGTGGAGGTAGGATGTGAGAAGGTGGGAATTATGAATTTGAACGGGGAGTTCAACAAAGATGTCTTGGTATCGAAGGTTCGATTTCTGGAGCCTGTGATGGATGGAAACAAGGGTTAGTTAACCATGATTCTATACTAAACCATAGGAGGAAGTGGGGACAGCGTCATACTGTTCGCTCGTGAACTTGTTGTCCTTGAATGCGGCCATAAACTGGGGTGATAGTCTAAAAGCCCTAAGTGCCAACGCGCCCTGAGAACTACGGCTAATATCATGAACTAACGCCACGGTCCGCTCATTCAGTTCTTTCTGATAGTAATACTGATTCTCGATGACGTTCAAATTGACAAAGTTCCCCATGTTTGCACTTGTGTACCATCCGACATTATTGGCATCAATGTTTACCTCCCGCAGCATTTTAATCATTTCAGCCTGATAAACTGTATTCGATTTTGCGCGTGGAGCAACAGCAGCGGAATTTTGGGAAGCATTATCGAAATGGGACTCGGTTGGGATATCGACAACTGGGAAAGGGAAACAGTTCGTGACTTGGAGTGTCCCTCGCACATCCATACCGACAAGTGATCCGGTTGCGATAGTAGGGAAGGCCTGGGAGCTATGTTTGATGATTTTCATCACAACCTGAGCCACATGTAAGCTTCACACTCGTGCCTCGCAGTCGCCAACCCGACATAGAAATTTCTTACCAGCGCTTCCACCTGGACCGCTTTGAGTGTAGCATCTTTCCTACGACTGGTTAGTGAAAGTCCACAAAACAAGGAGGAAATATACATACTCCGACATATTTGCGACAGCGATAGATTCCAGATAAACTGAATAATAAAAAAAAAAAGGATGATGCTGTGGTTCAAGAATCTTGCTTGCTCGCCCGTGGCCTTTGTCGACGATGCTTGCTTTTGTGTGGGTTTTTTGGTCGTCAAAGAGGCTGAGCCCGATTAGGTCTAGTGTGAGGTGCGGCTTGTAAAGTTGCGATTTGAGATTTGAGTTGGAAGAATCAACTTTCAATCACTGGTATCAACCACATAAAGTCTCAGAAAACACTAAGTTATTCTATTGAAGGTGTCTAATTTCAAAATGACATCATGTCAGGGCTCTGAATTCCATCGGGAAACCCATCGATACGGGCAGAAAAATATCCTCCAGGAAATCTCTGTGTATTATCCTCGCTCTCTTCCACAACCGGACCCCTCGTCAAGTGTCTGGATAATGTATACTCACTACTCCCTATTCCCAAACACCATCATCCAAGTTCGTCCGATTCTCTTTGCTTATTCTATCTATGAAAAAGCTATATCCATGGCGGCGCGTGGCGTGACCCGGCTATTACATCCATTTCTTTTGAGCCCACGCTTGATGCTCTTGCATCCGACTGCGATTCCCAGACTCTACAAAGGGTCGCTGCTTTTGCTTCAATCGATTATCGTTTGTCCGCCAACCCCAATTTCCCCCAAGACCCCACCACCATTGAGCCGACAGATTTGCGATGCGCAATCCATCCCGACCACCTCAATGATGTACGAAATGCAATCGCGTATTTACAGAACAAATTCGGGTTTGGAGAAAGGTATATTCTAGTTGGACACAGCTGTGGCGCTACTCTTGCCTTTCAAACCGTGATGGGAAGTGTGTTAAATACAGAATCTAAACGCAGCGAGGCCTCTGAGCTGAATATAGAGCTGCCAATCGCAATAGTGGGTGTTGCGGGAATCTACGATCTGCGTTCACTCCGTGATACTTTTGAAGATATCGCCATTTACCAAGAATTCATCAAAGCTGCCTTCGGTTCTGATGAAAAACTATGGGATGGAGTTTCACCCGCCAGAGTGGAAGGACAAACAAGTATAGAAAACTGGTGGGTAAACGGCAGGTTGGCTGTGTTAGCTCATTCTGAAGCCGATGAATTAGTTGACGTGGGACAGCTAAGAACCATGGCCAAAGTAATAGGTAAATGGAGAGCAGCGGGTACCAGAGGACTTCCTAGAAATTTACTCCTTCTTGATGACCTGAAACATGGCCATGATGAGATCTGGAGTAAAGGAGATGAATTAGCTCAGGTTATTGCTAAGGCAGTTTTTGAGCTGCAGCGATTGGAGAAATCGTGATTTCTATAATCCAAAACGTGGTTGGGCCACAAAGAGCACTGGTATATTTACTCAAGGTCCGTTAATTTACAGCGTTGCGCCGAAAGCCACCATACGGAGCTCGAACGGCACCGACAAAAATTTATTCCATGCGGCGTGAGGTTGAATCTAGTATGTGAAAGGAATAATGAAAACAGATCAACAATATATCTAACTCCACAGAACTCTTTCTCGGGTTTATTTCGGTAGCAAACCCCATTTCCAAGCACTGGGGGACAAGGCTAAACTATTAGTTCCTTCACTGTCGGCCAACATTGAGTGGCATAGATGTGGCCTTAGCCCAAAAGTTTCCAATCGCATTCCAAAACCCCATTGCCAAACTGCGGTTGGGATCCATCAAATATTTGATGACAAAGGGCTCATTGGGGTTAACCCAAAAGTGAAAGTGCTAATATATGGCATTCGCCCAGTCACTCTCGCCATTTTGCCCTTATATTGCCTTTTTGATCTGGAGGCTCCCATTTTCAGTTTACCGTTCAGCAGTGATCGGAGCTGTACCAGGCCCATTCTATGCTTAGCAGAAGTGTTATCCAAGTGTGTACCTTTATTTACGAGAAATTTACCCAGTAAAGGAAACCATTTCCGAGAATCCTCAGCTTTTAGTCCACATCAGATTGATGGGCATTCGCACACACACTCGCCCACACAAGCAAATTTGCGGAAATATTTCTAGTATAAGCCGATTTTGGGCATTTGTTGAATGTGATGTGCGATTTGTCTTGAGACTCTGACGTCCAACCAAATTTGGAGCTTCATCTGAGTTGCTGCATATTACCCAATTTTGGTTAGCGGCACCAAGCATTGTCCACTCAGCCCTGATATACTGTCGTGGATAGCAAGAGTTAACAGGATATAAAAGGGATGACCATTTTCAATGAATGTGGAGATTGAAATGGGGGCATTCATATCGTTTTCTTTCCGTTGCCCTCACCTCCCGTTTTCAATACTTTCTGATTTAAAAAGCCGGGGACTTGATTAATCTACAATGCATTGGTTGCTGAGCTTGCACCAAATGTTTGGTAAGTACGAAAATGGAAGACAATGATATAAGTTGGTTACTCACGGTTTGCTAACAGATAGCAGCTTTGTTTTTCTACACCGGTCTCTGTTTTCGAACCGATATTCGAGCCGATATTCGAGCCGATAGTAACCGTGATGGTAGAGTTGATCTTGATGGAAACACGGACATAGCTCATAAGCTGAGCTCCTCAAACCATGCCGGGCAATATTTCTTGCTAACATCGGTGACGTTGGCCGGCGGTGTTCTAAACTGGCACTGCGAGGCAGCCCTCCGTCCAACGAGAAGCTCGCTGCTTGTAACGATGCTACGGATGACATCCAACGGTCCGATCGATAATGGCACATCTTCGAACGGTGCCTATTCCCAGATTAACTCCAGGTGCTTATGGGACTGTGTCAGTTGGAGACGCAACAGCACGCAAAAATGTTCGTATATTCCGTCGCGAGGGGTCGGAATGGTTCATCACACAAAACGATTACAAGTTTACTCAGAACCAGCTGCAACTTGGTTTAAACCTAGGCATCGATGCTAGGGATACCAGGAGGCCAGGTGGATGGGGTGGAAGAATTAATGTTCGCTTTACAGTTCACGATCGAGGAAAGATATCAGCCGACAGTGTGAAGCTGCGGGTTGCACCAATTTTAACTTACCATCATTCTCAATCGGTTCAGCAAATTTTTACCACTGCCGGAAATGATACCTCTAACTTTTTCCAAAGCAAATTTGTGTCTACTCTAGAAGCGTCTCTTGCCGAAATGGACGTCAATTACCCACTCTTCGAATTCAATGCGTCTGATGACCTTTGGGCTCAGGACTTTTTTGAACCAGGTTATACGAGCATGCCTGGTCCATCCGGACCAGTGACCTTGCAAGTCATGATACGTTCCGCTCAAGGCGACCGCGTTGCTGGGCGTCAAGTATTTGAATACCTACGTGGCTCCGGTACAGGGGCAGTCCAAGACCGTGCGGGGTCGCGTGATGAGATCAACTCCATGGGCAATTTGGAGACTATCCCACCCCACAATTTCAACGGCAAAAATTACCCAGCTGGGCGCATTGTTCTAGGCACACATGGGGCCCAAAAGCCATATATCTTGAAATACATGCTGGCACAAGAAATTCAAGATCCTCTGCTGTTTGATACCAACTGGCTTGCGGTCGGACATGTCGACGAGATGCTCCAATTTCTTCCTGCCAATAATTCTCTCGGATGGGCCATGCTCGTCCCTGATCCACAGGCAGGCAGGCCTGGCTATATTACGAAAGACTCAGTCAACCGGTTATGGCAATATCCGGGCCTTTTCTCGCCAAAATGATACAGAGGGAAACCCTTCTGATCTGTTTGGGATTCTCTGGGGCCTTCATGGGGTACCAAGCTACACGATCGATGACCTCCTTTCACAAAGCCAAATCATAGAAGCGAACGCCAACTTTGCCAGGAGTATCAGAGGCACCGTCAACCTTCTAAAACGTGAAACTGGCATCAAAAATGCAGACATACACGGTGTACCTGCCGTTTTCCGCACTGGCCTCACTTTCCTACCAAATGGCGGGATCAGGCCTGAGAGGAATAATAACTCCGAGTTGGCAGGATCGCTGTATCCTGCTTCGATCAACGGCCTAATTCTTAGTACACAATACTTGGCGCCTAATCCGTGGGGCCCAGTTGTTGATGGCAGGGATATCATGGCAGATGCGGTCTCGGAGGTTTATGGTAGGTTGGGTTTCAAAGTCAATTTTGTGGATAATTGGAATTCGCATCACACTTGGGGCGGCGAGGTTCATTGCGCTACCAATACGATCCGCAACGGGAGTTATCGCTGGTGGTAAATGCTGAAATGCTATGTTTTCCCTTTTTGTGCGTAGTGGTAGCGTGAAATAGAGTAATTAGAAGCAGAGATTCTATATTTTTATAACTGAGAAGCAATCTGTACAGTCCTTGTAAAATAAATGGCAGAATCTAAAGAAAGTGTTATGTCCATGAAAATTACAATCCTTCCATCTACATGAAAAAAGCGCATCTATCTGGCAGATGCTCAAAAACATCCTTCCACCAGCATTGATAGTCGGAGTTCCCAGCATGCCTGATGTTGTCCCGACGATTATATTCGCTCACCAAGAAAGCCTTTGCATCCCGGTAATTCAGGGTCCCCAAAGCTCTACTCAATCTCATGAATGAGCTAGTCACAAACTCCCGTAAGGTCAATGCGTCCTCAAAGTCGTCACCTGCTTCAATCCCAACTACGAACAGCGGCCAGGTAACCACTCGCGCCAAAGATTGACGGCGTAGATCAGATTCTGGGGTAAATATTTTGCCCAAGTTGTCCGACAGCGTTTGTCGTGCTACAATCTGAATATCTTGAACAGTGACATAGGATATCATATCTGGAGTTGCATCTGAAGCGCACGAGGCGAGAATGAGGCCTTCAAAGTTCAGAGCAAGAGACCTTATGCAGTATAGAAGGACTGCAGATTGATAAATAGCGGCTATTTGGAGCCAGTGGCTTCGATCTGGCTGTATGAATTCGCCCGCGGCGTCTCCGTGGGGAACGACTGATGTCGCAGAATAGTATTTAGTCATGCTGTCCGCCCACCCGGCCGCAGAAAATGAAAGAATCCTCTGAAGCAGCGATTGTACGTCGTTTCCGAAATCCATTTGCATCCCGTTTGTGCCAATAGCGTCCATGGAGAGCGTTCGGTAATAGTTTATTTGAATCACACACTCAAAAAGTTGGTTTGGGAAAGGGACAAATGTTTCCGATCCATTGTGGAAAATGTGAGATAGATCTCCCACGTATCCTAGCTGTCTGGAAATGTCGTCCATGGATAATACCTGCCGGGATGTAGTGCCACCTAGGACATCCGCTCTGGGAGAAATGGGTTAGAAAGAAAACAACAAAATGAAACAAAAAAGAAAAGAAAAGAAAAGAAAAGAAAAAAAAAAAAGCTTTTGGACATGGTCAAAAATGAGTTTAAAGAGTCCCCCAGAGTACATACATTAAGTAGCATGTCAGAGCACTTTTCAATATGGGACACCGTTCAAGAACGGCTTTTAAACCCCCTTTCAATCCGATTATCGTCGTTGCACCTTCAAAATGGGCGAACCATTCACCATAGGCTGATTGCTGGGTCTAGGATAGAAGTTAACAAGGAATGGCTTAAGTATAAAGTGTAACGTGGGTTAGAAAGAAGTGTACCATTTACCTCCACTAACAGTAATGTCAAAACACAAATTAGCGTTATATCCCCTAACTGAGTCTTAGGATTTCTGAGTTCGCAATTTAATCTGCGAAAAGCCTGCTGTTTATACTGGTAAATCTCGCGGCCAAGGGTTATATGTTCGTCCTGCTGCGATTTTATAGCTTGGTGAGTTGCAACGGCTGAGACGAGTATACTAAACAGTAAATTGGAGACGTCATCTTGCCAGCTTTTGGGGTCGATTGTTGGGAGATCTTGGTAGTAAACTATTGGATCAATCTCGGGGTATATATATTTATTGACTGTACCCAAAGTTAGCAGTGGCAATCGGCTGCTCATCGGGCGACACTTACAGTACCATATGGTACTAACAACCACTTTAATATTTAGCGGATATTTAAAGTCCCAGGCTTCAGGAACACGCTGATGGTCGAAATTGGTTAGTGAATTTGAAATGTCTAAGTATCCGAACAAGTATTAGTATCGAAACGCCAGCTACTATGTGTGCCTGCTGAGGGCAAGGATTAAATATGCGGGTTGGTCTTGAGCTGTTGCATACCCCAAGCGGTTTCCACAAGCTCCAGTACCTCAGATCTGTCATCTTTCTCCAGGTCGGGGGACTTTATTGATTCTTTCGCATCGTCCTTTGCAATTATAATCTTCGGCCTTCCTTTCTTCCTCTTCGGCGGCTCCAAATTATTTCCCTCGGCCAGATATTGGTTTTGGTTTCCTCCCCCCTGGAGCCAGATCAGAGGCTTTTGTTTGCTATATCCCAGGCACTCAACACCCTTGGCAGTGCACTTATTGCAGGTGGGGCGTGATGAGTCGCATCGAACCCTTCGCTTTCGGCAGGTATGACACTGGGGTGGAAAGCCAGTTACGGCCTGGGGCGGTGGTGACTCGGAATGTTTCCCAGTACTCATCCCGAATAGGCGGGGCAAAAACACACCAATTTCACACGAGGGAAAGCGATGCTTGAGAAACAAGTAACAAAGCCCAATGCTTGCGAATCTACAAAACATTGGGAAGCGAGAATGGGTTGGGATCTTGTTTGAGGGAAGAAAGGCATCATAAATGCGATTTCCAGGACTTAATAACTTCCCATCTCGAACCGCCTCAGCCCCATATGGTCTGCTGGTTTGCGTTACGATCCGGTTTTCCAATTATGGAAAAGGAGGTTCCACGGAGCTGGATTCCTGAGCCATACCTCTTGCTCCCGCTGTCTGTCCCTCCCGAATAGGAGGTGATCATGACGAAACATTCTTAGCGTCTTCTGGCTTGTCGGATCGCTGAACGGCAAGTTCCGATAACCCTGAGGGAGCCGTAACTGGCGGCTCGCTCCTTGCAGGGGTGCATTGAAGGCAGCCTAATTGTCTAATTCTGTCAGTTGTGCTGTGCTTCTGTGGCCCGTCAACTGGACACGCAAGTTTGGATCAGAGCAGCCATGTGTCGTGAGAGGCTGAGCTGCAAATACCACACGTCGGCTGCCAACAATGGCGTTGTTTACGCAGTCCGCCAGGACCCTGGCCCAGCGGACGTGGCCGAACAGTTGGTATACGAGAAACGCAACTTGGAATGCGTGGAAGAACATCCAAAGAAGGTTGACGCCAAGGCTGTGCTAGGATCCAAGTAAGGGGCTTCATCCCCAGTTTCTATTTTAGATGCTGCACCCCTCCCGGTTCCAATCTGTATGCAAGTTCAAGTTTCGCCATGAATGATTGTGAGATACCACCCGGCTGATAAAACTCAGACAAGATACACCTTCTTTGTCGCGGAAAAGAGAAGAAATGAAATGAAATTGGCAAAACGAAAGGAATTTGACCCTAAATTAGTCTGGTAATATTCAAAGAAGCGAACGCTCTCCCGGCGCATTTCCCTATATCTCAAAAGTTATTTTCAGCTGTACTACCATCCGAACGACGCACGAAAAGCTTAAGAGCAAATTCGAGGCTTGGAAAATATAACTAACGAGCGCTGCCGGTTCTGGGAAACAAAAAAGGAAATACCTCGTTCCCCAGAGGGTGAAACTAACTTACGCAGTATATCCAGGAGTTTAATTCAACCAACCACCTCAAGAACTGCTCCTTTTGTGACTTCAGCCCTGCCGATCTACAGTTACACCATGTTGGCGCATGGCTCTCGGTCGGCTTGCAGAATTTCGCTTGTCCGCCTTGTGCTGGTCCCGACATTGAAGCGGATAGCGTCTCCATCGTAAGGCGGGCTCTTATCCAAACCATTCATCTCTCAAGTCGCCATTCTGTTCTCCCAAAAACAGTGTTTATCAGTCGCAAGAATGGATATCGTGTTTTTAAGGAGTCCTTTAGAGCAAGAAATGCAAGAGTGATATTTGCAATACTTCACGATCTTCCCTGTCGGTTTCTGTGTACCCAACCCATTGTGCGCAGTCATATATACCTGTGACCATGTGTGACCACAACAAGGAGCTAGGTTTTGCACAGCAATGAAGTTAAAACGGCTCTCGTGGGTTGCACTGACTTGAATGGAGATTATTCTCTAAAGGAGGAAATCAATTGGTTAGATCACAAATTAACAGCGACTCAAATTTTGGTCAAAAAGCACTGCCAGGTCTTCTAGTTCCCAGACGGCATCCAGTGGGCAAAGCCTCAAAATGCTATGTACCAAAATTACATATCTATCCACATGAATGCCAGAACTCCAACACATTGTTCATTCAGTTTGCTTTAGCCTTTCTCGGTATCCGCATAACTTCTTTCACAATCAAAAGACCCCGTCGACAAAATCCATGACATGGACCTTCTCGATGATCGCTGATAGGCTACTGACAAATGCCAGATGGACGGGATCTTTTTGCGTGTAATAATCTCTGTCTTCGGCATTCTCAAACTCAGTAACGAATGCATGCGTAAATCCGTTCTAGTCAAGGTCCTGTCAATTTCAACTTCGGCAATCTGGGGTGGGAATACAAAGAATGAATTATATAGATCGAAAAGATCCACCACATTTCAAGAATGTCGACTTTCATACCTGGAGCCCCTCGGGTGAGATATCTTTGCCACCCATTGCAGATTTGATGTAGGGTTTTTGGTGAGTAGGATGAATGCAGGAATCTTTCAATCCCAGCATTTTCAAGCAGGTCTATTCAACAAAATTGATGAGTTTCTTTCTGGGCTCTTTCTTCTAGGAGTAGAAGCATCACTCTACTACCCATACCTCATCAATAGCCTCCGGAGTCGCATCGGCTTTAAATTGAAAACAGACAATATGCGTGATTCCCATCGTCTTGGCCGTTAGGGTATAGGACTGGATATGTCCAGACTTAGTGAAAACGGAAATAATATTACGATCAAAAGATGTAGTTCAAATTGGGGGAAATCGGTGTCCAAGTTGATCTTTCGAAGCGCACCTTTCGACAATTATAGTTAGTTGGAGGCGAGTTGAAGCAGAAGTGGGGTGATACACCACACCACAGCAGATTGTCCTGCAATGCTGATTTAAAATCAGTTTATAAATAACTATGCAGTAGATAAAAACTAGATATGCCCGCCGGCTTGTATAAACATCCCGAACCGTGTTCAATGAAGCCGAATAAATACATGGCCCGCGTCAATGCTCGCAGGTATGACCCGTATTTGGTGACCTACTCACTAGATGATTAATATATTACTAAGCTTGAGGCAGCTCTCTTTATATCATTCATATCTCAACACACAAGGAATTTTCTGTATAATAGAAGTGAGATATTGTAAGAGGGTTGAACCTTGGTTGGTTGTTATGTATCGGGTCACGTGGGGTAGGGCTTGTGTAGGACCTCCAACAGATATATACATAACAAGCTGTATATATTCCCAATTTTTTGAGTTTCAAAAATTCATTCCTGGGCAAATCGATCGCCCGCGTAAATTGAAACGCGAAAAGGCCACGAAGATCCCAGTATTTTGGTTAGCAGCCCACTAATATTAGTGTCGTCAGCCCACATTATGCTGCTAGGGCTCTCAGGGGTATGTCTACTGGTGGAACTGTGCTAACAAGTTATTGTTTGATTATAAACAAGTTGATAAATAATAAATGTATCCTACGGAAGTATTCAGAATAGTAATGGACTAATAGGATGGTGGGTAACAGGAACCCCGCGAACTGCAATCCTGAAAACCAAAAGATATGGCAAATATGTTCTATCTTCACAACCTTCACGGAGATATATATAAATTTTTAGCTAACACGACACAGCCCCATCATCATCCCAGTCCTCGCTTCCCACACCGCGACGGGATATGAAAAGCCCAGTCGGATCCCATTTCTGCTTAACAGCATACAACGGCTCATAGTTCTCACCCCAAAAGGATTCCTGGAAGTCCGACTCATGGGAATCAGCTTCATTCAAGTAGGAACCCATCTGACCAGGTTCCAGCGACCTGAGAATCGGAACCTCAACCTTCGTAATCTTCTCATATATCTTCTGCTGCTCATGGAATGGGGTACTAGAAGGCCATGAGTAACCGAAAGTAATATGCGTCAGCGCCTTCCTCCATGCCGGGTTCAGCGCGCTGTTGACCTTTCCAGCGTTTTTGGCAACTTGTCCGCCGGCCACGAGGTGGCCTGTGATAACGCTCCCACGCTGGGAATCAAGGCGTGAGAGAGCATCAGAGAGCTTTGCGGGTCCATCTGATGAAACCAAAAAATCACGAGATATTAGACGGGATCCAATTGCGACTGCGTTGCCGGTGTCATCAGCATTTCCTTGAAGCAAGCTGACAATCATTTCGTTGGACCTGGGTGAGGCGATGGTGGAGGTGGAGATTGTAACATTGTCGAGTTTATTGACGGCTGCGGCTAATGGCTGCAATAGGCGCTCAACGGCGGCCTGATCGTCTTGGTCAACAAACATCAAAGCCATAACGACAGCAGAGACGGAGCCGATGTCGGGCAGTGGAGGGCTCTGAGGGACAATGAAGTAGTATCCTGAAGCTCCATTTTTACTCAATTCCGGCAAAGCTGCATGCAATTCCTTTACAGCAGCCCAGTAGCCCTTGCTATTATCGAGCGAGGTGGAAATATTGACACTCGCTAGTACCATTGGCGGGTCGGGCCATGTTCGAATTGTGACGCTAGCAACAACACCGAATGTCCCTCCTCCACCACCTCGTAGGGCCCAGAATAGATCACTGTTTTGGAATTCGTTGACGGTGATAAGATCTCCCTATATACTTAGTTAGCCGCATTTCCAGCAAATTGGTATATCACGGCAGAATGTTCTGCATCTCCTTTGTTGGGTATGAATGACCAACGAACCATACCTTTGGAGTTATAACCTCGAATTCAAGTGCATTATCTGATGCCATTCCTTTCCACGGGCCGAGAGGTGAGTGGCCACCACCCTGGATGTAACCCCCTGGTGCGGCCACAGTATGAGCTAGACCTACAACAGCAACAACCCCTTTTTCGGATAAAGCCTTGTACAAGTCGCTTAGCACTACTCCAGCTCCGAGGGTAACAGCAGATCCCTTCCCGCCCGTTTTACATCCCTTCGGCACGAAGTCGTCGGTGAAAATAATGTCTTTCATTCGATAAGTTGAGATTTGAAGCGAGTCTGGCGCAGACGATCTGCCGAGAAAGTCATGACCAGATGCCTTAATGGCCAACCGAAGATTGTGTTTTCGTGCGAAACGGACCGCGCTCTGTATCTGCGAAGGCGACTCGACAAGAACGGAATATAGCGATACTCGACCTTGGTCGCAAGCGTCACCTCGCGGGGTGTCAACGTAGCAGCTCTCCTTGCGAGCGAGCCAGGTTTCCCAGTTGGTGAATTGAACTGCGCCTGGCTGTTCCACTCTCCAGAAGGAATTATGGGTAACGTTTTGTGTTCTCGCACATGTCTCCGGATCATAAGTCGGGTCATGACATACATTACCGACAGGTCTAACAGCAACAAGATTGCCGTGAACAGATTCGTTCAAGGCTTTCCATCGATGAGGCGAGGGCCAACATTTTTCTTCAGGTTTGCAGCGGCAAGAAGGGTGATTATGGCCGGAAAGGGCCTCTGGAAGACCCGAGAGGAGAAGCGCAGCAGCCAGCTGCAACAATTTCTGCATATCCGCAGACACACAAGGAATTAAACGATAAGGGAGGAAGTAATCGAGGAACAATCTTGGAGGGGATGAGACCCAGAAATATGGTATATTGGATTCATAGTCCTCGTGATATGGCTAGATTTATATATCGACGAAAAACGAACTGGCATGCTGTAATTTGGACAAAACCTGGTACCAGCAAATGTCGAAACGACAACATTACTTGATTTGACCATTTTGCGGGATAAGCGTGGGAGATCGATTTCAATCATCTCCCAGGCAGTGTGGCTCGGGTTTGACGGCATTTTTTTGGTCAGAGGTTGGAGAACTGAGCTCTGGGGGTTGCCTTGCCCTGGCCATAGCTGAAAAAACTGGTTGGGCCTCAGCAGTGGTTGTTTTGGTGCCTTAAACCGAATTCTGCATAAACCTCGTATGTATCTCGAGCTCGAGATCTTCATTGTATTTCGTCCTCTGCCTTGCACTAACTAGTTATTTTCTTGGCTAGCTTCCCACAGCTAAGCCGAATATACGAGCTGTGGCTCCACCTCCTGACCACACCGTCGATAGACCAGGCAAATCACTCAGGAATTGAACATGGATTTTAAGGAAAACTATTACGCTGTACCTTCAACCAACATGGATGATTGCTTAAATCAAGAACAGCCAATGCAAGGTTACTAATCCCCAGTGCCAAAGCCTGGTATGGTAGAAGTGGAGCCGGTGAGATCACAGACGAGGTCATTGAGGCGTCCGATGACAGCTTGTTCAAGTCGAAAGCGCGCATACGGATCATGGATGTCAAACCCTGTTTTTTCTTGGGGACCTCAATGCAATGGCTTCTGTTTCCCTCTTTTATCCTGTCGCTCATGAATGATAGATGGCAACGAAGGAGAGCATGAGATCTGGGTAAAGTAAAACGAATTCCTCAAGTGGGATCTTGCTTACGGTATACCCTAGTGACCTTTACAACGGGGACAGGAGCTTATCGTCTATGACAGAGAGAGGTGCTTCTCTCTCATCTTTCACAGTGGCCAACAATTCTAGCAATTGCACACGATAGCAGGCGACAGCCCTACAGCCTTAATGCAATGTACGTATGTACAGTACAATTTTGCGCAGAATAGCGTTTTTGTCCTACGTTGCTCCTGTCGGGGAATCACACGCGATGGATTGTGACTTTGATTTTGCGAAGCATTGTTCAAAGAAGCATTCTCCATTTCTCTCTTTGCCAGAGAAATTTTTTTATTTAGTCATAGTTCGGAGGTACATACTCGTATGATTAATGATCGAAATCCAAAACAATACTCGCAGTCAAAAGAGTGGCAAGTTCGGTATCAATTTTCTCTCGACGACAGAAGTATGGAAGAAAAGATTCAACATTCCACGCAAATTATATTGGAAAATAATAAGGAGGCAATTTGCAACCAATCCATTTATTTCAATCCAGTCTCATTCAATTTGCCAAGCGACAGATAGGCACAGGAATTATCAAGGTTTGCGGCAGAAGTTATCGACACACTTGTTGTTGTAGCAGCATTCCGAATCGCATTCGCAATACCCCATGTCCTCCTGGCAATTCGGCCACTTCGGGTCTGTCGGCCTACATTTGGTAGCCGCGCAGTAGCCAGAGCAACAAAATTCGGTACCCCCTCCAGATGTACAACCCTCTGAGAGGATTTGTTAGCTGGTCATTCTTATGATGCGCTACGTGTGGAAATGATCAATAAAATAGCGATTTTTGGAATACTAACGGTATATACGTAAACACGTAGGTGTAGGAGCGCAAGTGGTTATGGTTGTCTTTGTCGGTGCTGTCCGGGTGACGGTGATGCAAGTCTCTGTCCCAATGCAGGCTTGAGCGTCACCACATCCTGTGGCATCTGAAAGAGCGGAAGAACCTATGTTAGTGGAAGGATGCCACAAATACGGCTGTTAATGACAGGGACATGGGGAAACTTGTAGGGTCTTTGAACGCTCAAAGCTCAAGACTATAGAATGCTTTCTAAAGGAGACAAAACGGCATACTTGCGACAGCAAGATTGACAAGGAGGAGGGCGAAAGGCTTAGCAACATGCATATTGGGAGTATTTATGTGTGAGTTTCGATTATAGACAGCGGAAATATTGGAAGCCTCGAATTATGGATCAAAAACTCGACATAGCAAAAGAGATAATTCACCGCTTATTTGTATCACGAACAACAAGTTTATTTGAGGGGTTAGGCAATGTCAAACGCAGTGCCTACGTATGTTTCACATTTTGAGCAAACAGCACCTCGTGAATACGAGTGTCTCATATGTAGGATATCGACGTCCCACGTCACTCGACCGTTGGCGGTCCAGTGAATGTCAGAAAAATTGTGGACGGAGGGTTACTAAATGAAACTGGCTGGACCATTCAAGTTGCTTCAAAACATAATTGGGAAATGTCTTTGTGACGAGCGGAGCTCTGACGCACTCTACTTTGTGGGTGGAGCTCGAGCTTAGTCGTCCAGGATAACATATGCTTGTGGCTCAATGCTTTGAGTTCGTGAAGTGAATGCCCATGGATTCTGCGTACACAACCACATGGAGTTGCATTAAAAGGAAAGTTGGTCGAACTTTGAGGGCAAACTGCCTATGAAAAGTCAGTATCATGCTGAATATCAACTTCAACTGATCTTAGTTTAGAATCTTCAAAGGCGGAATGAGTATGAGTGCAAATTTCCTGCCGATATAGTAAGTATTTATTATTGGAAACACCTCTTCTTAACTCGCCTGTTACGTGCTTCATGGATGCCGTGGGTGAGAGTAAGCTGATGAACGAGGTTGTCCGCTATTGTCAAGGCGGATGTAAAGCTTGCGAAAACAAAATTTTCTGCCACCCCCTGAAAACAAAACACCACAAAAATAACCAAAATATCCACATATCTCTAAAATCATTCAAATATCATCCAATTCATTCAAATACACATCTTTATCATCAAATACACACTTTTATCATCAAATCTGTCAATATGCCCCCCCAACTCAGCAAATTTATCATCAATGAAATTGTACATTTTTTAAATAATAATTATATGTCTGCTCAGATTGTGTGAATCATTGAATGTCATCTGATCACTATATATCAAATTCAATAAAATATTTGCTGCTTTGAAACTGCAAGAATTGCTCATTCAATATGAAGTGTAAAATTAAAAATCACATTGAATATTTTGTCAGATTTGAGGAATTTTTTTTAAAATATATTCAACTGCATATCACAATGAAACTGTTTACTTTATGAAAAATGAATTTAATGTTGATATCTATCCTCAATTGATATCTAGATTGTTGAAGAAACTGAATTTAATATAAAAAAAAAAATGATTAATTATTGCAATTATTATTTATAAAATCTATTAATCTATCAATTTTATTTAATATAGATTGAATCTGTGGTCAGTTAATGTGATGAAGAACTTTGAACTGAATGATGTATTCAAATTACTCAGTATCAATCTGATCAACTTATCTTTTTAAATAAAAGTGTTGTGAATGAATGTACTGCAGATTGATGATATAAATGATCAAGCAGAGAATTTTTTTTATTATATTAGAAAACTTTATAAATGATTTCACAGAAATGAATTGAATGATATTTGAATGATTCTAGAGATACGTGGATATTTTGGTTATTTCTGCGGTGTTTTGCTACTATTTTTCAGGGGGTGGCAGAAAATTCTGTTTTCGCAAGCTTTACGTCCGCCACAATAAGGTAACCCTAACCTTGGAACAATTATTATTTGCATTGATAACGCAGTTCTTCATTTGGGCGTTGTTTTTTCTCAAATTATCCAGCTAAATCCTAATTACTGAAGGTCAAATGATATCTGCACGCAACCGCGCCGATAGAAAATCTTAATAGGATCATAAATAATCCTCATCCTTGGCTGGCCACTGATCTCACACCTCCAAACTGATACATCTATTGGGTGTAGCTCCATGGGCTCCGCTCACAGAATACCAGGAGTGAATAAGGTCCCTGTTACCAAGCGAGCAATATGCGCAATCTCTTCATGGCCTTGCTTTTCAATTAGGAGGATTTTCTCGGCTTCTCCATGCTTGCTGAGGACTTTCGTCCTGGCTATATTTTTGACATTTGGGCCTCTATATTGGAATTGTTAGCTTGTTTCCGCAAGCTGAGTCGTCAACCTAAACGGCAATATTGAGAACCACTGTTCGTCTGTTTTCGAAATAATCAGCTTCCTATGTTATAGACAGGTTAAGTGAAGATATAAGTCGTGCGCTGACGGGGGGAGGCAGTCCACTACTCATGAATTCATTCACTTCAGAAACAAGGCGCTTTCTCCAAATCAATGCGCTCGTGTTGTCTTCACCAAGCTGTCTATGGGAAGTCTGTGCCCTG